CTGCTGAATGAAGAATCACTTGCTTTCTTTGTATGAAAATAGTTGCATGAAACTGCACGCATCTTTCCTGGAGAGTGAAGAAAAAGTATCATATTCAGAGCAGGGCAGGAGCCATGCTCCAATATTGTTCCAAACATTGAAACACTGATTCCCATTGCTTAAAGTAAAAATTTTTGCAAACGCTGAATAAAAGCATAGCAATTTTCTGAGTAAGGATTAATAGGCGTGTAAGAAATGGCATTAATTATACTAATGTTACAGTCTACCGAAGCTGCTTTCAATCATTTTTATATTCAATAGCATGCATCATCATGCATTAGGGATAAATATAGCCGAAAAAAGGTAGCGATAATAAAAGTTATACGGGTATAAATTAGAGCATATTTTTAAACTACTGTGAAGTCACAGCTTCTTGAGATAACATAAAATTATAGGATATGTGCACATCCTAAATTGAATCCTGGGGAATCTTGTACTGTTCGTATGCTAGTTGATTATCGTTTGGGTAACGCTGTCTGAGAAAGTTACAAACCTCTATTTCCATAGCTTCCTACTCCAAGCCTTATTCTTAACCCCAAGGAGCCAGCGTGGGGACGATACAAGGCATTGTGTATTGGACATATTCGAGCCATGGTCACTTACTATTTGGGGAGCAGCTATGGAGGCACTGTAACCTCAGGTCCCCAGCCTCAGCCCTCTCCTCCTCAGTCCTGGAAAAGAGAATATAGAAGTAGCACCTTTAACAGAAACAAAGGCTGCTCCCAAATGTACAGAAATGGAAGGGTCAAAATCAGTAAGAGTACAACATACCTGGGCTCCTCCATCTATAGCCAGCCAGGCCCATTATGGAGATCGTAATGGTCTCAGGAAGGACTCAATTCCATTGGCTTGGCCCCTCTCGGGGGAAAGCTCATGTAAAGAGGCCATGGGGAATAGAAATGAGGGGCTCAGGGCTGCGTCTCTCCCACTCTTTCACTCTTCAGGATGAATCTAAGCGTCGGGAGCTAACAGCATTGTACAGTACGTGTGTGTTGGAAGCGGGTATGTTGCTAGTGCTACACCATTTAAGTGCCAGTCTGTGTAATTTTCCAGAAGGAACAGCTCTGTGGATAAAAATTCCTGTGTTGCAGAATAAAGTACAGAATAAATCCAAGGCAGAACGTTACACTCATCCTTGTGTGCTGATGAAAGCTGAATAGTCAGGTTTGAAATTCTTACTGATGTCCATATGAAAAGATACTGACTCTGTAAATGGGAGGTACTGTAGGTCAACAGCTTAAAACCTGTTCAGATATCTAGGTGACCAAGGAGGAAATCAGAGCAAAAGCTTGGCATGTCTTCGGAAAGCATTGATATGATCTGCACAACATCTTGTATGAGTACAATGGAGTTAAAGAAAGAAAACTGTGATTAAGATACATTACAGAAATGTACAAAAAAGGAAAAAAATAGCATATGTGAATGATGATTTGAAAGTTCTGATTCTCATAGTGTCAGGAATAGTCCTGATTTATTATCTCTGCAATAGCTTGGGTCCTGCCGTCTGTTTCAAACTTCTCCTAGCACTTCAAAACTACATTTTCTATCCCTGAGGAGATATTTTGTCTGCGCTGATATCGATGCCAGTTTGAACTCAGTTCACCCTAGAATTTCACCTGCAGCATCTGCCCGATGTTGGGCTGGTTTTGCAGATCAGAGTAAGGGCTCAGTCAGCAAGAAAAATGTTGTGAAATCAGCTGCAATACCACAATGGGTGTTGATGGACAGCTGCAAGTTGGCAAACGCTGTGCTACGGATGAGTGAACTGTGGAAGGCTGAATCTTCCAGATTTACTTGCTAAATTTGTATGTTGGTTTAACAGCGCCTAGTAAGTGAGATTTGCTTCACAGGGAGCAAAAGGCTGGCTATCAGACTGAAGACAGGGCTGTGCTGATCTCTAGGGTCCCCTCTCCCACCGGTGCCGGGGTGGGCTGACCTCCTTACCCCTGCCAGTGGCTTCAGTGCCCATGGGACTCAACACCCCTGGCCTCACACAGCCTGACCAGGCATGAATGCATTTCCAAAAGCTGCTAATCTTTCTCCTGGTGTCAACAGTAAAAGAGGGCAGTGGCTAATTCAAGTTTTCTCATACCACTTTAATAACTTCTTATTCCTTGCTCAAGGCAGTGACTACCTCTCCATGAAGAGCTCACCTGATATTTGATTTCCACCCTTTCAGGCCCCCTATCCCTGACTGCAGGCTTCAATCCTCACGTACTCTCAGCCCAAGCCTCTACGTTCCCTTGCCCCAGATCGTCCTCCCCATGGCTACAATCCTCCTTGTTCCAGCAGCTGTGACTATTGCCCCAGCGTCTCCATCTGCCCCACTAACACTTTCTGCCTTTCCCCCAGCATACCGAAGAAGCAGAGAGGAAGGGTTTCTTTCTTCATCTGAAAGCAAAGTCCACCAGAGTTCTGGGAGCGGGGGAAGGTGGTGGGGCATGGCTGAAAGGGGATTTTTTTTTTTAATACAGAAAAAAAAGGAAGGGGACAAACATGGGAAAGACATTCAATGTGAATAACCCAGCTGCACTGTCCCTCGCCTGACTGGATGTGATGATAGTGTCGCTGTAGCCAGTCAGTCTAAATGAGTGCAATTCTCGTGAACGTGTCCTAATTATTACACAGCCATATGGGCAAAGCTGCTAAAACTGCCACATCTACTGGTTTCCATCTTGCCTTCCTCTCACTGCCTTTTTAGCACCCCCAAACTAGACAGTTGCACATTTACTAGATGTTACACTAAGAAAGCTGAATATTTAACAGTCTGGGTGCACTGAAGTTAGTGCTGCACTGGAAGGGTTACCCCAGTCCCCTGTTTGTGGGCGTTATTTTCTCATGGCCTCACAGGTACACTTGTGCAGGGCAGGGAGGAAAGTGTGGGCTGACACGGCATGACCCCACTGCGGAGCAGCTACATCTCTGTGGCAGCAGGCAGTGGCAAAGGGACAGCGGTCCTGGAACCACTGTGTGCTGCAGGGCATTACAGAAGCCAAATAGCTGGGCAGGGGAAGAGGAGAAGGACCTGGCACGTTGACATTCCTTCAGCTGACTGTCACATACAGCTCATCAGACTACACAGGAGAGAACAAAGAATCCCCGTCGCTTTGACTTATCTGGAAGGATCCTCAGAGCAAAGGAAGCAGGAAGGCATGCGGAGGGATACCTCCTCTGCTAGCTGGGGTGAACTGTAGACAACAGACCATGCTCAAGATAATATGGGGCGAGAGTATTCATATGAAACAGAGCAGAAAGAGAAATTGAGAGTGAAGGAAGAGAGATACCTATTATGAACTGACACCTAATAAACTAAAAAATTGAAAAAGATGAGCGAAAGTCATAGACAAATATTCAGTTACAAGGAAAACCAGAGAAAAAGGGAGGACAAACAATAATAGGACAAAGGCTGAAAGCTGACATGTTGCAGATAATTCTACTGATAATTTTATAGAACACTTAATACATGAATAATACCTCCAAGCCTGTATAGTTTACTTGTTCTGCTTAGCGTTACTCTGAGGGCTATCATATCTTTTATATCTGAAGAGCTATAATATCTTTTGATTTTATAGTGTGAACTACAGAGTCTTTTTTGTCTGGAATTTTTGAAGTATCCCAGGCCTGGGAAGGAAATAATTGTTGAATCTTTGATTTTTCAGCAGCTGTTTAAGTGTTTTCCCAGTGATCGAAACAGTGAGATGGTTAGCTGTTGGGAGACAAAGTCTGTGTCTTTGTGGTTGCAGGGAGCCAGAGGATTTGGCTGTCTCTGTGTAAGCATGCTGCATGCTGTTTGCAACTTGGTTGTGCTTATGTGTGGACTTAGGGTTGGATAACTGTATGTGCTAAGGTAGAGTGAAAACAGGCTGTGAAGCAGCATTTGGGGTGTACACACATATTCATCTGATTTTAAAGGTCTTTCCTATGTTCTTCACAGCTGAGGCAGTTCTTGGGATGCGGAGACTGAAGTTAACAAGCAGCAGTAACGCAGACTGTGCGAAGCTGACATGCTAGGGGAGGGGATGGGGTGAACTGATGGGGAGGGAGAGGGTCAGGACAACAAGCCATGCGCTGATTTGGCGCATCCCCTTTATCTCCTGCACTGGGTGGTGAACATGGTGCACACTGTTCGAATTGGGAGCTCTCAAGGGAACATTTCAGCTCTTTCATCTCATAGGTCTCTAGTAAATTTTCTGTTGTTATATGCAGTTACATGTGATTAAAATTAAATGAAATACAGTGACATTATGTTTGACAAAGTACTTGTGAGATTAGTGGTACTTTACTGTCAGTATTTTTCATAAAGGAAATTTCTTCTCTGGGAGCAGGGGCCTGTAGAAGTATATTCCAACAAAAAAAACTTTTATCAGACAAAATGGGGCTAATGCTTTTCTTCCCTGTCTCCCAGAAGATAAACTGCAGCTGTGGGGAATAATGATAAAGCTTTAACTTTCACTAGAAATATATTGCTCTTAGAAAACTGCCTATTGCACTAAGTCTATTCAACACAGAGGTAGATGCGTGTGTACAGTGGGTGCTGGATGTGTGCTGAGATAGAGGAACATGCAAAGAAGAGGGCAGTGATATGTACAAAGTAACTGGAAGGAAGAAAGGCTGGAGGGTTTTATTTATGAGATATGAAAAGGAACACGGAGGTGTAGGAGTAGGAGGGAATATGAAGTATCCCTGGGTATATGCACAGGAAGGAAAGAGAATCTAAGTTATTTTCTATTTGTGCAAAGGAAGATCAGAGGTCGGGGATGTTGTGTGCTTGCTGGGAATGCTGGCACCCTCAGCATCTAGCAACACTGGTGCTAATTGATGATCCCTGGACTGCCTGCAGTCTCAGAGTATTCTCAGGTCACAGTAGTGAAGCTGACCATGCACATGCTAACGTAACAAAAATAAATGGATGTAATGCTGCACAGCTTTAAATCTCTGGAAAGATCCCATGGTAACACTGTCTCTGCGGTTCTTATTATGTATTCAGATACAACAATTAAAATAATGTGATATAAAAAAAGAAAGTCATAATCATGAAGTTTGGGAACACCACATGCTTGAGCTGTGTTTGCCAAGTGTGTGTGAAGGGGTTTGGAGGATGTGACCAACAAGTGAATTGTTCACACAAATTCAAAACGAGCAAGGAAGCTGGAAGGACAGAACAAAATATACAGTCTGGTCATAAAGCGAGTGGTAGAGATGAAGTATTGTCTCTGTATACTGGTCAGGGTGGCTCTGACCAGTATACAGAGCAGTCACAAGGAACAGGCTGTTCTGTATGCATGTTGCCTAGTACGGAGCTTATTTTGATCGATATGTAAAAAAGAAGAGTTAAAAACCACATTGGTTTGTACTGGCCAAGGTGGGACTTGTCACTCGTCTTGGGCATATGTGGTCAACATATGCCTGCTAGTTGCGTAGGTAGGATCAAACCTTCCACCCAAGAGACCTGAAAAAGCCTTGATGTTGCATTTGGCTTGTTGTCATTCTTTGGGACCCTTCGCCTGTTTATCTAACGTGTTGGGGTGAAGGTCTCTCAGATTACAACTACTCCAACATGAATTTGATTGCAAAGTCTTAGGTGGTTTTGGTTCACATGTACGTAAAAATGGGGGGGCGGAGGGATGTTTGTAATATGGCGAGTGCAAGAGGAAGCAAATGCTAAACACACAATACAGATGTGAGATAAAGACGGTTACTGTCCTCGATGCATTAATGTTTTTTGCTATTTACTGTTCCAGAAAGGGCAGTAGTGGTACTTTATCAAGTTTCCTTAGCATTTCCCAATGTAACTCAACATATTCTGTTGCTTACAATTCTGCTGGTCTCTCATTTGCAATTCTCAATTCAATAATTTGGCTGACTGTTTTCCCTCACTGAGTGTTGATTTCCCCTGAGGCACATGCTGACCCCTTCCCCTTCACTGTGGTTGGGGTCTTTTTTTCAGGCAAAGAATTTTAAAAAATTCACTGTCATCTCTAAATGGAAAATTAGGAAAATCATCGTTGTTTGAATAATTTCTCTCATCTTTCCAGACTGAAAGGTAGAGTGAAAACTTGGAACTTGGCAGAGGAATAACTGTAACAACAGAGACTATTAATTAAGCTTGGGTAACCAACGCAAAGTAATATGCATGGAACGTCTCTAGGTTCTTCCTGCTCAGGAGAACTCCTCACTTCGCTACTGAAATGCCTGATCATTTTAAATCTTCTGTCTCCTCAGAGCTTCCCAACCACTCTCTTCCATCACTGAGAAACTGCCACATCGGTCAGAAGAACAAGAATTAATCCTCCTTATGTTTTCTGTCCCCAAAATATCTTCACGTTACTTCCAACAATAGGCTTTCAGTGAGGATTCTCATAGAATCATAGAATCATTAAGGTTGGAAAAGACCTCTAAGATCATCGAGTCCAACCGTCGACCCAACACCACCATGCCCACTAAACCATGTCCCTAAGCGCCTCATCTACACGTCTTCTTAGTACTTCCAGGGATGGGGACTCAACCACTTCCCTGGGCAGCCTCTTCCAATGTTTAACCACTCTTTCAGGAAAGAAATTTTTCCTCATGTCCAATCTCTGTACTTATCAGCTCCTCATTCCGTGAAGGTATCCCTATGGAGTCCATCTCACCTTCCCTGCTGTGTGAGATCAATATTTGCGTGTTCTTCACATTCTGCAATTTTAAGCAAAGCCTTAACCTTCTCACGAAAGAATGAGGGCGGCAAGGATCCCAGTGCAGCCACATGGGCCAACTAAGAGTGCATGGGGTCAGCAGTGTGGCAGGTGCGCAGTGTATGGCGATGGGCAGGGTGAAGGAGCATCTCTGGGCCTTCAGGGCTCAGACATGACTTGGAGTCTGCCTAAGACCCTGGTAGCAGTGTGGGTGGCACTGTGTGGATGTTTCTGCAGTGCAATATGATGTATGCACTATATTTGTGTGGAGGATGGGGTGTGTGGAGGAGCCTAGGATGGGTTGTAGGCATGTGATTGTGGAAGATGGCAACTCCAAAGTGGCCTAGCGGTGGCTGGAAAACCTCTCAGCAGCCGTTAGGATTATTGGGAGGTGCCTATTACACGTGCTGAGAAAGGATGGCTGTAACATTTGTAATATCCCCACAATTTTACCTTTCCAGAGAGGGAAAATTGGCTTGCATTGGCAGCATAGCTTCTCATGAATTCCTATGAATCAGATGCACACTGTAAGGACTTCTCAGTCTTGTGTTTTAATGAGTATATAAGAAAAGGCAGGCATTGGGACATCACAAAATTTAAGAAAAAACAAATCAAGGAGGATCTTTTGTGTTTGTCTTTAACACACATCTTCTCCAAGTATCTCAGAGACTTCACCCACATGTGCTGAAACAGGTGGGAGCCTAGATTTTCTGAGACTAGCAGAGTCCATGAAAACCTCCACTGATCGAGCGACTGACTGCACTGACCTTTCTCTGAAGTACTTGATGGCTTCCTGGTCTAGGAAGTTCTGCTCTTCTCGAAAGCCCTGCTCAAAGATTTTGCGCTTGTGTCTGAACTCAATGACAGTCTTAGTGTAAGAGTTCAAGGTAGTAACGGAGGCCGCCATGCAGCAGGTGAAAGAGCCCCATGCCAGACTGTGGAGAGAGAAACCAGCAGACAGAGCTGGGTTAAGACAGCAGCTCATGTTATATTTCTGACGCCAAGAGACACACACACACAGGATGCGACTAGGCAGGTAAGTCAGTGGTGACAAACCCGTTTTCTTCATCTTACCTCAAATGACCTGTGGCACATGCTCAGGCATGCAGGCAGGATGCTGGGCTAGGGGCTGGGCACAACTTTCATCCCATGGAGAACCGCGTGGCAGAGTGCTAATGTGAACACTCGGTGCACTCTGACAGAAGAGTCGAATGCCTCTTGATTTCCCTTTGAAATGTTTCAGAGCTTTGCAGACAAGTGCTAGAACCTATAGAGCAGTAATTAACTCCTGGAAGGAGTAATGCCCCAGAGAGCTCATCTTTTGGCCCAGTGCAAGTTCTCCAGCATCCATGGGAGACTGACTCCACACAACGCTACTGCAGGGATGGTCTCTATTCCGTTTTTTTATGCCTTCATCAGACTACTGTATTTCCTTCTTTCCTGGTTCATGGACATTTCTAGCATTCCTGGCTTATATCTGGTCTCTGAAAGCCTGACCAGAATAGAAGACAGCACTTCCATTTTGTGGGGAGATCCAATCTGAGGGCAGTGCCCCAAGTGTGCAGGCAGTGCTAGCCAATCTTGGTCAGCCAGTGGCAGAACACCTGCAAATACTGACCAGGAGCACAGGGAGACAGAGGGAAAAGGAAAGTGGAAGAAAAAACGTGACTGCCCCAGTGCCAAGCTGGAACAGCAGCCAAGTGTTGTCCTGGGTCTCCTGGCAAGGAGAGTTCAGCTGGGAGCTGCTCTGCTCCCTGCTCGTGGGCTGGGTCCCCCCCCGGGTGCCTTCTGCCCTCCCTGTACATCTCTCCTCCAGCCTTTACCTTACCAATCTCAAGTTCAGATGTGGCTGCGGGGAACTCATGGCCCCAAGGAGTTTAGATGCTTTTTGAGCATGAAATGGGGCTACAAAGAAGGCACCGAATTCCTCCTTTTGTCTGCAGAGCTTATCTGCGTTCAGGCTCCCCTTGACTTCACATTCAGCCCATCAGCTCCAGCTACATATAGTTCACAGCGGCTTCCTAACGAACTTGGATTAACTTAATCATCTGTGTCAGCTACACACTTTACCTGCTCCTTGCTTTCATCTTTTCTATAACCAAAATGAACATTGATATAAATTATGCAGAACAGAAAGAATACAGCCACAGTAGAATTATCTTATAAATACGCATTATCAACAGAACCCTCAGCATGAGCTCTTTTCCCATTCTGCAAAGGATCTGCAGGCAAGGAAACAGTTTCTCATTTCAAATTAGACAAAACTTGAAAAAGAACACATATTCATGAACTGAAAAATCTGGGAAAAAAATGGTTCAAGTAAACAGAAATGGCTCATTTCAATGATTTCAAAATTCAGTGCATAACAAGCCCTTTAGGGACTTCCATAGCAATGAAGTGTGTGGAGGCAGCCCTTTCCTAGCCATTTTTGAACCTGTTTGCCAGATGCAGTCAAATGAGAAGGAAGCGTAGTGAGCCCTGGGGTGATGAAGGCCCCTTAGGTTTCCCGTGGTTGGGTGGAGAAGTGGAAAGGAAACTCGTGCTATGTCTGAGTGTCCAGGCACAGGGAAGCCTGGCAAGTGTCTTCCTTCTACACGGAGTGTGTGGAAAAGCTCCAACAGCTCCAAACATTTCCAGCTGGGCTCCTAAACAATATCGAGGAAGAAGCCAGCTGAAACCACATGCTTCACTGTGCCTGGTTGGTGCCTGGGGAATGACATACGGAGAAAAATTTCTCTTGAAAGTTTCTGATCATTTCTAATCATTAACTCAGAAATGCTGAAAGGTTCAGAGAAGGAAATACAGAATGAAGACTCTCAATGTGACCTCAGGCCTGGCATTTGGTAAATCATAATAATGAGACAATTATGATTGATATGTTTTAGTTTTTATGGACCTTGGTTAAATGTTATTTATTTTTAAGTGTAAAGAGTGGTTCTCCTACCTGTAAGAGTTACATCCTACCTGAGGTGAAGACCTCTTTAACAGCAGTGCCCCTCCATGTCAGCTGTGCTCCAGATGTGGTGGGACTGTACCTATAGTGCCTCTGGTAGCTGAGCTCAGGACTGTGCTCTCAAGTTCCTCTGTGGCTCAAACAGCCCAGGTTTTTGTATTTGTTTTCTTTCTAGAGGGGCCGAGCTTGAACATCCACTGATCCTCAGAGCCACTGAAACCCCCTGCCTGGAGAATCCCCTGGCCCACTCCTGGCTTGTGCGAGTACACAGACCAACCTCCAGGCTTTGCCAATGGCTTGGGAACGGGGTAAGATAACAAGGACCAAGCAGTGCGTTTTCAACCCTGGGACATCTGAGCAGATCACAAGCAGCCCTTCCTCATTTTGAGGAGAGGTATTTTTATCATTCCCTCTCGATAGAGGGGAAATAGAGTCACAGAAAAAATAGTTTTCCCATTGGCACTTGGGAAACGAATGGCAGTCTTGATCTCCACTCATGCCCTTTGGCTCTTGGCCATGGGGAGGCTGTTCCCTGGCCCCACTTTTCAGCGGTGTTACAATTCCCTGTGCTCTGACAGGTTGTCTAGTAGGATGCTGCAGTGGTACTTTTTACAGAAGGCTGTAAATAATGCTGATGTTTGCACTACTGGTTCAGGCATATTTAAAGCTCATGCTTCAGGCCATCACCTGAACCCAGATGGAGCAGAAAGAAATTCCTACACATGCAGAGTTTCCAAACTCCATCAGGCCGGGTGGGCATTTGTTTTTAACCCTTCTTAAAGGTGTTCAAATCTGGGTGATGCCAGGGGAGGTTCTAGCTCTCTAGTCCGTACAGCAGTGGTGGTTCAGTGTTAGCTGGAAGGAAGAAGCCTTGTTTTTGCTGTGTTTGACTTTCAGACCTTCCTTTGCCACGTCTGCTACCAGTCACTGGCACGGCATGAGGAACCCCGTGGCCTTCCTCAGGCTGCTGAGTGCCACTGCAAGCTGAAAATACTGCTGCTGTTCGTGTCTGTCCCAGGGGAGCTGTGACTGAGCCGATGTTTGCACCTTGCCCAGCATCCTGCATAGGCAAGTATGTTGCCTTGGAAGGTAT